CAGTGTCTCTGGACCTTAGAAAAAGGGGGTTTGGGGACTCATTAGACATCCTAATAAGATTTGCATAATTTTTTCCCATCCTCACCCTCACCCAAGGATATGTTTATTGATTTGAGTGAGAGAGAGAGAGAGAGAGAGAGAGAGAGAAAGAGAGAAACATCGATGCGAGAAAGAAACATCATGGTTGCCTCCTCTACACACTCTGACAGGATCAAACCCACAACCTGGTTATATCCCCTCCTGACCAGAAATGGAACCCACAACCTTTTGGTGTACAAGACGACGCTCTAACCATCTGAGCCACCCAGCCAGGGCTAAGATTTGTATAATTTTTGAAAATAAGTTTTGATAAGAAAAAGGGAGTGAGCAGAAGGGGGCAGTAGGATTGAGGGGGAAGGGTGTGCACAGACAAACAGACACCCACAGAGCACATTACCCTTGTTTTGCAAACCCAGTAAGAAATGCTTTGCACTGCAAGTGCCCACAGAACCAGCAGGAATCGAGGTTATCTTAGCACAGAAGGAAGATAGCCAGCAGAAGAGTGCAGCTCCTGGTTCTTAACTAAAGTAAACAATAAACATTACAGTCACTTAAATTATCAAGAATATATTTAAATAATACCCCCAAATGCTCTGCAACATGCAAACTAAAAATGTACAATCCAATCCTGAAAGATCAGTTAATTGCGAGTGCTTTGTTTCTACATTCTTCTCTTTAACAAAACATGGCAAGTTTATCTCACTAAAGAATGGCTTAATTTAAATGCCTTGGGGAAAAGCTCTAAAAAATAAAATTTACGTCATATCAATATTTGTAATCTTATTTCTATTTTGAAAAATTAATAATAACAGTGTTTTCCTTGGTTGTATAATAATCACTAGAAACATTAACCTGGTGATTTTTAAAAATTTGTCAAGTTAAAACAAATGTTTTTAAATGGACACTTGCAATAAAAGATAAATCAGATGTGGTAATGCCTTCTTTTGTAAAAGCCATATATAAACAGCACATAAAGATGACAAGTCAAGCAGCAGTAGCCCATTCTTCAGCCAAAAAAGGAAAAAAATGAGGAAGAACAAAAATTACCAAAAAGAAAAGCACCCGCTGGCCCCTGCCCCCCCAAAGCCTCATAAATAACAGTTTGGGTACACTTTTGGTGGAAAACTCAGGCCAACTGATGGTTTAAAAAAGGACATTAGAATCACAAACACTCATGATGGGGATAAACTAACAACAGAGTAACCATGTGGCCAGCAAAAGATGGTTTAAAAATTCTCTATTTCCTCTCTAGTGTGCCGTTCTTTATCATGCAATACATTTCTCTTCATTCTAACTTTTATCACTTGGCTACACCCTCCCCCACTTAGAAAAAAAAGTTTGTATGTTATTGGTCCCCACCTAGAAATACATTCTTGTAGAGATCACTAGCTTCTCCATGAAATTGGAGTCATTTTCATGGTCCATTGCTATTCTCTGGCATATAAAGATTACATCTGGATAAAGGAGCTTATTTAGGAAGATGTAGGCCTTCTTTAAATCACCGTTGGTAAAACTGCTTATTATATGAAAATCACTCCATAATGCAGCCTTCACAAATGCCAGCAAATGGATTTTGCCAGTGATGTATCCTTCAACCATAGTTTTTATAATTTCCTAAGTAGTGCTGTTATTAGATTATCCCCAGAATTCGTGAATATAAAAGCAAACAGCTTCAAAATCAGTGTCTGATGCAAAATTTAACTATTAGGTAATAGAAAATTTTGCCTTGGTACTGCACTCACCAGCAAAGGACTCCACAGATCAAATGAGTGTTCTCAAGCTTGAACAGAGCTACAGAAGTCAAAGTGATTGAGCAAATATTAAAGGTTATACTAAACATATCTAGGAGACCCGAAGCCTTTGGTTGGTCCATTTTATTTTATATACTTAGAAGGGTGGAGAGATGAAGATGGAGAGAAGGGGCTATAACCAGTGCAAAAACTCATTTAGTATGGAACACAAACATATTTGGCAGGGCTTCTCGGAAGTCCCAATTCCAAAAATGATAAAGCCGTAATAAGCATTTAAGAAAAATATTATGCCCCTATTTGGTATCTAAAAAATAACATGATTCCATAGAACTAAATACAACAGAAAACTAGTAGATACTAACTAGCTGTGCCTTCTCTTCCTGAAAAATCCTGTAATAATGAAACGGCTTTCAACAAATTTCTAACAGGAATGTGGTTTTGGAGAAACACTACAAAATTTTTCTATTACTCAGACCTCCACAAGGTACTTACTTTGAGCTAGTAAATACTAGTAGACCACTTCAAAATGTAGAGTGTTGGTTTTAAGTAACCACCTGGATAATACAATAGAAGCTAGAACTGTGAGGAGAGAATAAGAGATAAGGTTTATCCAAGGTGAAGTAAGAGATCAAGTGGAATACATTCTGTTAATTCCACCTTCCAGGAGCAAGCTCTCCTCACACCCACATATCCACACCCACTCCACTCTTCACTCTTCAGTATGATCAGAGTGGCAATCCTGGCGGGTTAATAACTACTAATTTGTAGAGTGCTTTTATGAAACAACATCTGAAAGACAATCAGCATATTAAAAATGCTTCTAACAGATGTGACAATTACATGTATTATAGTGACTGATTAAGTTGGTTAGAAAAAGTTGTTTTAAAATGCTTGGTATAA